GGAAGTTTGCCAGAACTAAACTTTGGATGAGCTACTTCGAAGAGGGCGGAACACTGCCTCCTCCCTTCAACATCATCCCAAGTCCAAAATCAACGTGGTACCTCATCAGATGGATCAAGAGCAACTGCTTCAAAGCTAATCACAAAAAAAGAACAGAGACTCTTGGATCACTTGGGGTAATGAACTATTTGCTCTCTTTTTCTATTAATAATTAATTAGAATGTTCAAGCTGCTCGATACCAGACAAAAAGTAGATGGTAATTGAAATGGTCAAGATTTATAAAGGACCAAAAAGCACCATTAAACTAGTCTATAGAACTTGCACAAGTCTTCTTAAGTCATACGATTGCGATGTACACTCTAAAAATGCTGGGTTGGTTTAAACCAACCCAGCATTTTTTAGAGTGTATGAGGAATAAATGTTCAATATTAAAAATCCAATATTTGAAGAAACGAAATGATTCTGTGAACATAATCATTGGAGCTACTGAGATTTTCACTTGTAGTATAGTAAAGTATAGGTGTTATGAAAATCAATACAATTGATTTATTCTCTTTTTTTTTTTCAGATTCGAGCTGCTGAAAATGTCCGCACAAACCGCCAGTACCAGGTAATGGTGTCTCTCTCAAAGCAACTGATCGTTAAATGCACCAGATGAAAGGTTACAGCCCGCCACCATTGCATTTCACACGGTGTCAATCAACTTTTGAATTGAGAGATTAATCTCACTTTCAAATACACTTTGACTCCTCTGAAAGACTATAACCTCATTTTTTTTAGGAGGTACTTAGAAACCTGGTTAAGCGGTATGTGGCAGCAATGATCAGGGATGCCAAAAAAGAAGAGGGACTAACGGAGGAGAACTTTAAGGTAAATTGTGTATGGTTGTTTTTAATGATGTAATAAGTAAAGAACAATGATCAGCCAAACCAATTTCACAAAACAAATCGTGTTCAGGTATTGCTGTTATTAATTTAGTAGTACTTACTCACTATTATAGTACTTAATCATATTTTTTATTCAATTTTATTTTTACATTTTCTTTTTCGTTTAAGTTTTGTGCTTGTCATTTTAATTATTATTTTTTAAAATATTTCCATTAAACTAATTTATTTGGGTTTTAGTCATTTTAGTTTTTTAACTTAGTTTTAGTTTTCAATTGTTGCCTTTTCTAATTGTTTAATACAATTTATTTAATAAGTTTTGCTTCTTTTACATCACTTCTAATATTTTTAATTTTATCAGTTTATTATTTCAGCTTTATTTCAATTAACACGTTTTATTTGTAATAGTTTAGTTGTAAAAGTAGTAAATAAAAAGTAAATTTATTAGTAAATGTATTTATACATCCAAATGGATATTTACTTATGAATTTTATTATGAATAAAAAAAAATTTCATTATATGACATAATAAAAGAGACTGTAGAGTGCTTTAATATGAGACTTGTAAATCTTGGCAATGTAATACATTTTCCAAAATTATATTATGAAAGTATTTTACCACAGAATGCCACAACTGGCCCATCTCAATTTCAAAAAATTAAATCTTTAAAAAACAGGTCAGATTAACTTATTAAAAAAAATTTTTCTTCTTTTTTTTCATTTAAATTGATCTTATTGATTTTTTTGTTTTTGTACTATGTGATATAAATGTACATCATGTTTTACTGAGCAATGTGTGAATAATATCATTAATAGGAACTTAAACAGGACATCTCAAGCTTCCGGTATGAGGTGATGGGAATGATGAAGGGCACTAAAATTGGCACGTTGACCTCAAAAGGGAGCGCAAAAGCCTCAAGCATAGTGCATCCTGATAACCCTTTGAAGAGCAATTCTGCTTCAGCTGGAAGTCAACTGAAGGGCAAAATGAGACTGAAGAGTGTCACCAACTCTATGATCCAGGGAGGCGCACCCAATGTCTGGAACCCTGGCGACTGTAGTGGCCTAGCGGGTGGTTCTGTCCCAAACAAGACTCTTAGCCATCAAATGAACTGCAAAGGGCCAAACAACCCGGGAGCGATTTACTCCCTGTCAGAGGAAGCTAGTGAATCCGAAGAACAGGACGATGGCGAACATGCAGCAAAGAAGCAAAACAAAGTAACAGACAGTGACAGAGTAAATGAGATTGAGGAAGAGGACGAGGAAATGGTATACATGCGTAAAATGTGTGAGGAAGAAATGAACGAGGAAACCGGATACGAAGGAAGCAGATTATAACGGCATTCAAACTCAGCATTCAAATGTGACGATCACATGAAATCAAAGAGAAAGATGATGTTCACCTGAACCATTCGCTCTATCTCAGGAGCAGCTGTGGTGATGGTCCAGTGCAGGGCGTTGCATATGTATGATACGAACATCAAGTGTCATTCTGGGTCTCAGGGATGATTGTCTCTTTTAGGAGAATAAGAGGTCCAACGTTGTCATTCACAGTGATTCACACTCTGTCAAGTGCGTAAATGCTCCTGTAGTTTATCGCTGCTCTGCTCTCCTCTCCTCTCTGCTGAATCATATGAAGGAGCAATTACTGAGACCCTTTGCTATTCAGACCTTTCATTCTGCCTTACTCCGTTAGATTTAGCATTTTAAGAGATGTCATTACCATCATGCAACCTAATATCTTTAATAAAGTTTACTATGCAAATATTTAAAACTTTTCAAACTTTTTAAGTCAGGTTTTGCATTGTGCATGTATGAGAGAAGTTACATGTTAAAGGGTGTTTTTTTAATAAACGTGATGAATTTGGTCATACCAACACTCGACAAGTTCAAAGTAAACACTGCATATCATAAATGTACTGTAAAGTCTTGTTACAGTAATCATGTATGTTTCATCATACTCTCAGTTGTATTCATAATGAAGAATGAAAAGGAGAACAAGGTATTATTACAGTTTGCACAGCATCAGTACATTCTTTTTTTAGTATCTTATTCCATCTATCCTCCTCACTGTTTACTTAACAGGTTACTGCCTCGTATTACAGATCATGAATTAATGCACAAATATAAATGAATAAATAAATATATGCTGTACTATGGCTTTTGAATTATTGTGATCTTGGATCCCATCAAATATTATTTCAGAAATAAGAAGAAAAATCTCAGTTATATTAGATTTACTGAAAAGATTTTCACTTTATTTTGACCCAGTATGCCATATTTAGACAAGGTTATCTACTGTCCTGATGTAAATGGAGTATCTGTAATGGTTTTAAATAGACTCCTGCAATGCTGCACGCCACATCTAATTCATTTCACATCCTCCAACCTTCACCACCAGGGTACAAACGCCTATCTATAATTTACCGTATTTGAATTCGCACCCTTGGAGAGTCCAGTGTGCAGCCCAAGGGCACTTGAATGAAGTTAAAAACTAAAAGAGCAGCCTCGGCAAGAGGGACTCTGCTTTCTGCATGCTAAAATCCACAACCGTGGAGTGGACCTCACAGGGATGGAAGAGCTATATCAAAATAATTCAAATTTTAATTTTGCGCGTTCCAGACAGGCTGTCAGTCTGTCCATTAGTAATGAGGATTATTTTCAGTAAATCTTTCCGAAAGTTACACTCGTAGCAGGTGGCGATAAGTGACTTATGAGGGATTCATTCACGTTACGGGCTAAGTTAGAGAAGCTAACGTTAGCTTGTTCGGACCTTTAACACATATTAACTTTAGTTTGTCGAAATGTTGCGCTCTCTCTTGCTTGATAAGTCCTTCTCTATATGATTTTGCACATACCGCGTGCTTTTCCCGTGTTTTGTTTGCGAAACAATGTGTTCTGTAGCCTACATGAACAGTGCAGTCCATCCTGTTGTTTACATCCGAGTGCCTCCATAATGGCCGCTCATCCGGGTTACCGCCCAGAACGTGATGTCGGTGAAAACCCTCTAGAAAGGAATGAAAATAATCACAAAATAAAAGCAAGGAAAATTAAAACATTTATAAAAGAAATTAAAAAATATAAGTTATATGGAACAGTTATAAAAATGAATTAAAAGAGTAAAAAGATGATACAGATAAACTGGTATTTAACACCTGGCAAAACACTGGTGTATCATATTTTTCACAACAATTTTCCCATGGTGATTATTAAACTGTGTCTGTGGTGTTCATTACAGGTCATTGCATCAAAAGGTAATTTATAATTCTAATTCGTGTACTGCTATGACTTCACCACTAGAGGTAGATGCATACAAAAGTTTAAAACATAAGAAATAAATTCATAACCATAGCTCCTAATCCTATGTTTTCTGATACTTGTTCAAACTCCTTCCCACTATTATTCCGATACTCGGTTCACTTTTCCCCCCACTCGCCTTTCCATGCCAGACAGCATAAGATAAATGCAGATGAGATTCTTGGGAGCTTTTAAGAAGTCCCCATCTGGCTTTGACTTGTCCAAAGGACCGCCTGAGGCCTGAACCAAGAGCTCCAGCTTAAAACCGATTTCAGATTCCAGATGGACAGTAGCCCGATGATGAAGAAACTGGCAGGAGATTGAACAGTTACAGGATGATGATTAGACATTATCCTTTTATCTGATTCCTTCAGTTGCATTCTGCAGATGATGAACATCCTGTTTCTAAGGACAAACCTGCAGAGCACCTAAGTAATTAAGCAATGTTGTAATGAATGATACAGCTTTTTCTGTCACTTATAAGATTAATATTAAGCTGTAGTGATAAAAAAGGTGTAATGCTTGCAGAATATGTGTTTTTAAAAGGAACAAAGCATGTCTAAAACATTTGGCATATAATGTAGGTGTTTTATATGTAATGCCCCTAAACATTTCCAGATGGTCATACCATTGTAAGACCTTCTGACTCTCTTCTTTCTGTCTCTGCATGGAAGGTCCTTCTTAGGCGTGCAGGGTCCTCATGGAGGGGGTGGATCCATAGGAAGCAGGTTGATTCTCTCCGTATTAATCTCTGTCATTGTGTGTTTGAGACAGAAAGAGAAGGGGAGGGGTGATATAAAGGCTAGTTCCCTGTTGCTCGCTCCCATTCCTTCTGTTTTTTTTAGTGGGTTTGCTCTGCAAGGGATTCACCAGTATGATGTTCTTGTTTACAGCCACCTTGACCATCCTGGCACTCACTTCCCTGGACCAGGTGGATTCTTCAGCCTATGACAAGATAGTCACACACAGTCGCATCAGGGCTAAGAAGGAAGGGTAAGATTGTTTTAAAAGTTCACTTTTGCTGACTAGGAATTAAAGAGGTGTTTAATTTTGTCAATGTTGTTAATGTCTTCAAACATAGAAATTACATATAAATCCACTTTAAAAATGCTGCGACTCAAAATTCTATTTAAACCTAAAACAATATCAACCAATGTTGTCTGATTCATTTACGTAAAATTATTCTGTACTGTTTCTATTACTAATTAAATATCTTTTTTTTAATTGTGCCACATTATATACCTACCAAAAAAAAATCTTTTTTTTGTTAGCTTTTCTCTCAAATTATGCCGACAAAATATTTGTAATGGGACAAAAATGTATTGAATTATAAGGAAATACAAAATAAGCATTTTATTTAGGAGTCTCGGACCCCCGCTGTATTTTTCATTGTTATTTTTGTTATACAGTATGAACCTAAAATCATTGAAAATAATGTCTTATGCATGTGCAGTCAAAACAAATATTGTGAGATCTGAAAGATTACTTGTTACATTAATATATTTATAAATTTAAATATTTTTATGATATAAAATTTGTCAAAACTTTTTTTGCTAAACTTATTCACTTTACAATTACAGAAATCTGTATATCATCAACATGCCATTTAAAAATTGACAATATTTTAATCTATTATTATTCATTAATCATAAATAAACATAAATTGACTAAAAAGCCATTTTTTATTTGTTCAGTCAGCTCTTTAAAGCAATTTGTCAGGACTTACTATATAATCACCTGCCTAATTGAACACCCCTGTGGCATGTAAGTCTGTCATGTCTGCAATTATCAACCATTCTAAAAGTTTTTTTTTTTTAAACACATCCTCCTTCCGCTCTTTTTTCCAGGCCCAATGTGTGCGCTTTACAGCAGGTCATGGGGACGAAGAAAAAGTACTTCAGCACATGCAGGAACTGGTACAAGAAATCCATCTGTGGCAAGAAGGCGTAAGTCATCCATCTCTTTTCACTCTGAGTCTGACAGACTCTGCTTTAGCCAGGTTTCTGCCCGTGATGTCGGCGTGAAACAGCGCCTGTGGCTCTCGGGGTAAAGGTGGGTCACAAAGGTGATGGATTACCGGTACATTGATTAGGCTTGTTCTGTGCTGTAGGGGTGTGTTCAAGGATAGGGAATGAAACAGAAGCAAACTATTTTGTACACTTCATACAGATCAGTTTTATTGTTTGTTTATTTTTTATTAGTAAGGATTCAAGACAGTTGGATTTTTGCCTAAACAAGCTGGTCCAAATACTTCCTAGGAGTGAGATGATTTATTATTCAAAAACATATTACACTTTGGAGCCTTTACCTCAGCTCTCAGCAGGATGACAGAACAGTTGTGTCAGCCGAGTGTAATAACTGTACTTGTTTATGACAGATAAACCGCAGCTCATGTGCGCTGACTCAGACTTGACATATTTATTGTTGCTCCAGTGGCTTCTCTCTCCGTATTCTCCACAAATGTCACACTAATTTACTGCATCTTCACTGAGAGGATGAGGTAAGCATGTTTCTGGGGTCTGTAAGACTGTGATGAAAGCCTTAGGGACTGGTGACTAGCAATTGGCTAAGCTTTTCAGGCTCAACTCAGCCTTTCCACTGGCAGAGATCTGAAATATGTAAAAGAACTGAGAAAAACTTTTGGCCTCAGGAAATGTCTGTGTTTGATTGTACTTTTTTTTTTAAATGTGTTTTTATGTATCTGCATATATCATTGTTGTGTTCTTTGTTCATGTTATTTGTTTTATATTGCCATTTATGTATAATTGGTTCTCTCTCTCTTATATATATATATATATAGGCTATATAGATAGATAGATAGATAGATAGATAGATAGATAGATAGATAGATAGATAGATAGATAGATAGATAGATAGATAGATTATATATATATATATATATATATATATATATAAAATCATACATTGTATCTTTTTAATAAAATATATGCGAGTGTGTGTGTGTGTGTGTGTGCGTGAGTGTGTGTGTGTGTGTGTGTGTGTGTGTGTGCAATCATGCAGCAGCATGTCCAGGAACCTAAATGACGGATTCTTCTTCATGCCTGTATCAGACATACATTGATTTTGGTACAGAGAAAGCAAATACAATGTTCTCAGCTTTATTTTTAAGCTTTGAATTAAATAACCGTATGCCCCCAGTTCAACGTTCTCACAGAGAATTATAAAGAAAGAGTCTCCTACATACGTTATAGGAGCTGTATGTAAGAAATGTAGTTCATATAATCAGAAAATGGCCCTGATATGTCACGACTCACGAGACATTAAGAAATCATGTTAATTTCAAATACTTATATCACTGACAACAGTAGTCCATCCAGGATATTGTCATTTAAAAAGTGAAGTTGCAGCCCTCAACTGATGTTGTCATGTTGTGTTTTGGTCTGATGTGCCACCCTCGACCGATCTACCAATCACGAAGTCAGTAGTGTTGCAGCATCCGGGTTGCCAGCTCTGCTCTTGTTACCACAGCTGCAGCTACAAATGTGTTGGTAAAAAAATGTTGGATCCTGCGGCTTATCTGGCAACATCGAGTCAGGGGGCGGGGGAGGGGATACACCGCTCTACAGTAATTTGAAATTGACTGCAGTACCAGTTTTGGCCACAATCTTACATACGGCTCCTTTAACTAATGTCCTGTGAGATTCATGATACACCTAAATTGTCATGCTTTTTCTCACCTGCAGTGTTGTTTTACTCTTGGATTTACAGTATGGCTTCAGCCTCGGTCACAGTAGAAAACATACGAAAGCAATTTTAAATGTGTCTACTGGGAGGTAAATAATAAAAGCACAAAATAATCACCCCTGCGCTGGTTGGCGTCTCCCCCCGGTTCCCCCTGACTAAATCTGGGCTTCAGTTTGTCCGAAGCTGCCCAGCTTGCTGTCTCTCCTCTGGGCGCCATGGGGAAAGTTTGAGTCAGGCCTCTCTCAGGGGTAACGCTGGCTTCCTTTTTCCTTCCTTTATCGACACTGGGAACATTGTTCAGTGTCAGTGGATGAAATCCACCACAGCTGCAACGTCTGCGCCTCTGGACACTATCATGGTGATAACAAAAGAGAAAAAAGCTATTTAATCTGTGCAGTGTCAGGTGTGTGTTTACCACCATATCTGACAAAGAGCAGGGCTTCATGGCACGATAATTCTCAAAAACATATCTCTCGCTAAGAACTGCAAGTAATGTAATTTGTCATGGGAGAATTATATGCGCGGCATCTGCAGACAGCTGTTGGAAAGCCTCTTTGCCTCTTTTTTTAATACAAGGTTACAACTTTTTGCTTTTAGGCAAGTGGCCAAGATTCAAATTATTGTTCACTATTAAAGAAATAGTTCACCCCAAAATGATAATTCGGTCATCATTTACTCACCCTCAAGTTGTTTCAAACATGTATAATTTCTTTCTTCCGCTGAACACAAAAGAAGATTCTTTTTTAACAATATGGGTAACCAAACAGTTGATGGACCCCATTGACTTCCATAGTATGAAAAAATATGTACATATATAATTTATTTATTTTTCCATGAGGAAAAGGCTTTAAATGTACCAAATGTGTCTCCTCTTGAGTTTCAGAAGAGATCTCGTGCTCAGATTTGCCGAAATAAAAAGTTTTGCATTAAAAGATTTAAATTTGAAATCAGGAATTTGTAAAAGAGTTTTCATTATCTAGTCTGTCACATACATCCCAGTCAACAGGGGACGTTCTCAGAATGATTTTAAATGTTACTACTTGTTTCAGAACATTCAGAGAACTTTCAAAAGTAATGTTTGAAAAATGATACATTTGTTCCCATAAAGTTTGCATACCCCCCCCCCCAAAAAAAAAAAAAAAAATGTTAGTTATCACAAATACCAAATACTGAAGGACTTATCAAGCAATACTATAAACCAAATACCCCCCCCCCCCCCCCCCCCCCAAGCGATAATATTTCCCTTGAGAAATCCCCTTTCAAGAAACCACTGGAACACTACATATATACTATAGAGATTCCAGTTGCAGTTACTTGTTAAAAATAAACATCAATCATTATTCTGTCAAAACAGCCCATGGGGCAAGTGACCTCACACGTTTCAGACAATAGTTCCTCTGTCAGGCTCAGATTTGGGTCATTGCCCTCTTATGTTGTCAAATATGTGAGGATTTGCAGATGAGGTAATACTGTGGATCCTAGAATAGAACATATATTCTGGGGAGAAGTTATAGTTGTCTGTAATATATAGATTTTTTTGTCTTTAAATAGAAAGGGTATTTTAGTGTCTTTTCATTGTTTTTTTTTCTAAGTCTTGATATAATTATAGTGGATGTAAATGTTCATCTTATTTGTAACCATGAATATTAAGTCCAGCGGTCTGAGACACATTTTGATTTATAAAAACTGCAAAAATGTAGAGAAAAAGGCCATCCTAAATTTAAAACAAAACTCCAGATGGTTGAACAAACATGAAAAAGACACATCTGTGTGGACATGCTAAAATAATTTATCATGTGAGTTTTCTGGACAGAATACGATTCTTCCATTTTATAAGAAAGTAACAGATTGGGTAGAGAATAAAAAATAAAAAAAATACATATTTGCTTTACCAAAAACATTTTTTTTCCCTCTTTATTCCATGCAGGATGATATTATATGAGTGCTGCCCAGGTTATATGAAGTTAGATGGGATGCGTGGTTGCCCTGCAGGTCTGTATTCATTCATTCCATCAATAGGAATATGACATCGTGTTTATTTTTTATTATGAGTTTGCTGTGTTCCTATGAAGTTCCTATATTGTTAAGTCCAAGAAGAACAATTTGAGGTGTCAATCATGTCTGTAGCGCAAATAACTTAACATTCACTTGTCAAAAGTTAATAAATATGGTTATTTTATTGGTATATTGGATTGCGCCAACAATTATAAAACATTTAACCTCAGTTTAAGATCATGCTTAGATTAAATGCAGGTTACTCATTGGCTATGAGTTCAGTGGAGGAGAACATTAGTTTTTGTTCTCTAAACAAACCCCATACTCAGCTGGCTGTACTTATACATGAGGTTAATGAGCCACAGCTTGTCTTGAACGTGGACTCGAGGTTCACATCATCTGACTTTGGATCATATGCTATTGTGTCTCCATACTGAATCTATTTATTTGATAGAAACTGTGCATGCAACTCTTTGTGGTTATTTCCTGTAAATTTCACTCCACACCCAGTGGCCCCTATCGACAGTGTTTATGGCACCCTGGATCTGGTGAAAGCCAAGATCACCCAGCAATACGCTGACCAATCAAAACTGAGAGAAGAAATCGAGGGAGCAGGATCTTACACAATGTTTGCTCCGAGTGACGATGCCTGGAAAGAGTTAGATCCTGTGAGTCGCATTCCAGGCCATGTTCTGCTTCATTCGAGCCGCAGTATTTGCATGCTATGTTTAAATCAGTTTTCAAATGTATGCGTTATTAATAAGCACACATGGAGCACTGAATGGAACTTATTAAAAATAAATAAATCTGTGTATTTGCAGGCATTGAAAGCAGCCATGGTCAGCAGTGGAAACACTGAGCTTTACAATGCACTTCACTATCACATGGTCAACAAACGGCTTGTAACTAAGGACCTGAAGAATGATATGACCCTGAAATCCATGTATAACAAACAAGGCCTTTATATCAATCACTACTCGAATGGAGTAAGTTTCTCTTTTCTTCAAATTTACTGTGTGTGTGTGTGAAACTGTGTACAGTATGTACAGTATATATATTATATTTTTTAGTATTATTTATATTCTATTATTATTCATATTTTTGATTATTTTTCAATTAGTTTTAAATTCAGTATAACTTTTAGTAACTTTGTTTGTTTGTCAGTATTATAGTTTTTTTTAATTTCTATTTAGCTTAGCATATTTATTTCCGTTTTAGTTTTTATGTAGTTTTATTTATTATTTTTCATTATTATTATTATTAAGTTTTTCTCGTAATATTTTATTTCTGCTTATTTCACAAATGATACAAATGCTTTGTTTTTAATTTTTTTTAAAGTGATAGTTCACCCAAAATTTTTAATTCTGTCATCACTTCATCACCCTCAATTTGTTCCAAACCTGTATGAATTTCTTTCTTCTCTTGAACACAAGATATTTTGAAGAATGTTGGTAACCAATCAGTCGATGGTGGCCATTGACTTCCATAATATATGGAAGTCATGGCTACCCTCAACTGTTTGGTTACCAACATTCTTTCAAATATTTTCAGATAAGAAACTATTACGGGAACAATTTGAGGGTAACTAATGACAATCTTTTAATTTTGGGGTGAGCTGTCCCTTTAACAATTGCCAAATTGTTATGAAATGGTCTTTGAAATCCTGCCATCATATAGTCATCCTCATGTCATTTTAAACCTGTATTACGTTCTTTCTTCTGTGAAACAAAAGGAGATATGTTAAATAATGAATGATAATCCATTTCATTTATATAACACTTTTCTCAGCACTCAAAGTGCTTTACAAGGAAATCCTCAACCACCACCAATGTCATCCACCTGGATGATGCGACGGCAGCCATATTGCGCCAGAACTCCCTCCACACGTCGGCTTATTGTTGGAGAGGAGACATAGTGATGAAGCCAATTGTATATATATATACAAGTATATATATATATATATATATATATATATATATATATATATAGGGATGATCAGGGGGCCACTGGGCAAATTTGGCCAGGATGCCGCGGTTATACCCCTGCTCTTTCGAAAGACATCCTGGGATTTTTTTTTTTTTGTGAGCACAGAGAGTCAGGGTCTTGGTTTAACGTCTCACCCGAAAGACGGTGCTCTTCGACAGTATAGTGTCCCCATTACCATTTGGACCCACACAGACCACAGGGTGAGCACCCTCTACTGGCCTCACTAACACCTCTTCCAGCAGCAACCTGGTTTTCTCAGAAGATCTCCCATTCAGGTACTAACCAGGTTCAACCCTGCTTAGCTTCAGTGGGCAACCAGTCTTGGGCTGCAGGGTGATATGTCTGCAGGCAGTATCATTAAAGCAGGCTTCAACAACAGTGTGCATACAATTCAAGTCTGATTGGACCCCACTGACTATCACTAAGTAGACAAAAAAAAAAAAAAAGATTAGATTTTTAGTGTTCCAGAGAAGAAAAAAAGTTGTACAGGTTTGGAACGACATGTGGAAAAGTAAATTATGGCATAATTTTCATTTTTTGCTGAACTATCCTTTTCATTTCAGTGTAAAGTCACTAACTGATCTGTTTTAATGGTTTACAGGTTGTCACTGTGAACTGTGCCCGGATTATTCACGGCAACCAGGTGGCCACTAATGGAGTTGTGCATGTCATTGATCGGGTCATCAGCCCCATAAGCCAAACGATAAAGGATGTGATCGAAAAAAATGATCAGCTGACTACACTGAACGTATGTGTTATTATGACTGTGCTATTGTAAATTAATTTGACTAAACATTTTTGGCTTTCTGGACATTTGATGAAAAATTATTCTTCAGCAGGAGCATATGATTTCTGAGAGTCAAGTTTATACAAACATCTTGTTTGACGTCTTTTATAGACAGTTGCTGTGAATTCGGGTCTCCAGAACCAACTGAAAGAGCCCGGTCACTACACACTATTTGCTCCAACCAACGAGGCCTTTGATAAACTAAACAGCGATGTCCTGGAGAGACTTATGAGCGACACAACTGTACTTCAAGGTAAACACTTACTGTATATTGTAGTAGAACACAACCACAGAACATTATAAGTGTTTTCAGGGGGTTGTAGTCTTGACTACAAAGCTAGAGGTAATACTGCTACTGTGCAGTATCCCATGTTTAAGTCTTTATCACATAGTGCACTTCCTTGTTAAAGTTTGTGGTCAGTAAGATTTTCTTTTTGAAAGAATTTAATTATTTTATTCAGCAAGGATCCATTAAATTGATCAAAAGTAACAGTAAACACATTTACAAATAAATGCTGTTCTATTCATCAAAGAATCAATATTTTGTATCTGTTATATTTTTTTAACTGTTTTGATAATATTACGAAATTATTCTTGAGCACCAAATCAGCATATTTGAATGATTTCTGACCGGAGTAATGATGCTGGAAATTCAACTTTGCCATCACAAGAATAAATTACATTTAAAAAAATATTAAAATAGAAAACACTTAATTTAATTTGTAATATTTTTTCACAGGTTTAGTGTTTTTACTGTGTTTTGTGACACAGGAATAAATTTAATTTTAAAACATTTTTACAATATGTACTGTATATTTGTATTTGATCAAATAAATGCAGCCTCGGTGTCGGTGAGCAGAAAAGACTTCTTTCAAAAACATTTAAAAATCTTACCAACCACCAACTTTTGAAAAGCAGTGTATGTGCACATAAAACACGTACAGGATGAAATAATCACCCTCAAAGATTTGAAAGACTAGCAGCCTCATGTTTTAAGTAAACTTCACAAATGCAGTCCAATTCAAGCAGTACCACATTCTCAGACGGCGGGCAAACAGCAGATCTGACCGCAGGGATCCAAAATCAAGTTTGGTCAAGACGTCTAAAAAAGAATGGGAAATGCTTAGATGTTGAATAATACTTCATCGGATTTTGGTGAAAAAGATTAGGTATTTTGTGGTCAGACAATTATAAGTGTTATAACAGACAAAAGTAAAGTATTGGTTATGAAAAGGGCCTATTTACAGCTAATCTAATCTGTGTGATCTTTTAGATTAGATTATCATTATAGGTAAAGTGGAATAAGAAAATAACAGAGAGCTTTATTCAAAGCAAAGTCCAGCTTTGATGTTTAACATGCATTTCTTCTGAGGCAATAGTTTTCTCAAGAACCTGATCTTTTTCCTAGTTACTGATGAATTACTGATGCAAAAGCAGTGTGCAAAAACACAAATGATTAAAGCAGATTAGACATCAGGGTTCTGGCCAGTAGTATATAGGAAAAAAATCCTAAAGCACTGGTCCTCAAACTACTAAAAAAATACTGAGCGTATTTCAGGGATTACACATTTAATGACCATAAAATTTACATGATTTTTCAGTTGTTATTATTATTATTGAAATAACTAGAAAATGATATATTCATTAAAGAAATCCCAATTGCTTTTTAAGAATGAATTAATTTCCTTATTCCTTATACTTCCTAATTTCCCGTTTTTCTCTTTGTGGCCACCCTTGAGTATTGATGTTGACCCAACAGCAGATTGTTATCCAGTAGCCCATGTTACAATGTGTAGATTCAGAGAAGGCTAATTTGAATAGGGCCTAAGTGTCTTGTGAAGGTGGTTTTGATTTGGATTTTGGTTTGGCGGAGCACTTAAACGTGTCAAAATGCACTTCAACAGATGCAGGAAATAAGCTCAGCTTCTGGGAAAGTTGAGTAAAGTAAGAGTCTCAACTCTCCACCAGATTGCCCCCGCAAAGGAAGAACTGGGCGGATGTCCCAGTGGTCAGCTTCTGTGTTTATAATTGTCTTTGGAGGTGTCCAGTGTCTTTTGGACACTGAAGATAATTCAAAAGTTTAGGTCACCACACAATTCTTTCTTTTTCTCTCTCTTTCTGCTTACTGTTTCAAGCCCTTTTGCAGTACCACCTCCTGAACTCGGCGCAGTGCTCTGAGGCCATTATGGCCGGCTCCATCTACGAGACTCTTGAGGGCAGTAATATTGAGATCGGGTGCGATGGTGAGAGCCTTACGGTCAATGGTATCAAGATGGTGCTGAAGAAGGACATTGTCACCAGCAATGGGGTCATTCATTTGATCGACCAGGTCCTCATGCCTGACTCGGGTGAGACTCTGTACATGCCCACTGTGTTCAACCTGACATTATTTGAACTTAAAGGGTTAACTCTCACAAAAAAATCACACCCACATGTCATACATTAACAGATATTAAAATATACAACTTTTATTGATGCTTATATAGTATCTAAATCTCAATCTGAAGTTTAGTGTGTGACTTCCAGCCAAGCAGGTGATGGAGCTTGTGGGCAAATCTCAGAGCACTTTTGGTGACATGGTGTCCGAGCTCGGCCTCTCTGCAGCCTTACAGCCTGAGACTGAGTATACTCTTCTCGCCCCACTGAATGGAGCCTTCTCCGGTGAGTTAACCTCATGACTCTATGAGATACAGAATACAGGATGTTTCTGCAGAAATATGAGTCTGTTTTTCCTTAATATAGTTAATATTAACTTCTGAATTCCACTCAGTCCTGGCTAAAAAAATGTCAAAATGGAAAACTGTCAAAACTGTCATGCAGATGAGGTAATGTCCATGGATCAGCGTCTCCTGAAGACTATTCTGGAAAACCACATCGTGAAATTCAAGGTCTCTCTGAACGAACTCTACAACGGCCAGATGCTCGAGACCCTTGGAGGAAAACTGCTCCGAGTCTTTATTTATCGCACGGTGAGAGACAAAGACTCATAATGTTTTATGTTTAAGAGAAAGATTGAGGACCTGCAAACAATTACTGTGTAAACAACCACTTTTTATATGCTTTATTGCTCTGGTCTTTGGCAGTTACGTTTTATACACTTGTATATTTGCTTCAGGTACGTTTGTAGACCTGAAATTCCTCCTTGTCTGACTGTATTGTTTCCCAATTCTCTGTAAAATGTACAAAGCCCAACTATTATTTCGTTCTCCTTCTCGTGTGTGTGTGTGTGTGTGTGTGTGTGTGTGTGTGTGTGTGTGTGTTTTAGGCTGTGTGTATTGAGAATGCATGTATGGTCAGAGGCAGCAGAGAAGGCAGTAATGGAGTCCTTCATCTCATGAGGTCCCTGATCCAGCCACCCCAGGCGACCATCTATGAGCTGCTCTTGAACGACGGACGATTCAAGTGAGATTGTCATCGTGATGTGAAATGATTACTATTTTATGAATCTATACACATTGTTTTATAGTATAGAATTATATTATTATATACTGATCTGTCCCAGAATCTTCCTGTCTCTGATGGAGAGTGCTGGACTGACAGACCTGCTGAAGCAGGAGGGATCGTACACACTCTTTGCTCCTATCGATGCTTCCTTTGGCACACTGACAGAGGATGACATCACTCTTTTAAAAAGTAAACAATTTTTCCCTTTAACATGTCCAACATTAGCTTGGTCTGCTACCTCACTGGTGACCAGTGACTATTCTTTAATCCAGGTGACATGAACGCGCTCAGGACAATCCTGCTCTACCATTTTAGCAATGGCATCTTTATTAATGGAGGACTGGAGGGTGGAGTGACTAATCTTCTCAAGACCATACAGGGCAACAACCTTCAAGTGCAGTCTGTAAGTACATTGATAGGATCTCTATCAGTCAAATCTTTTGTGAAAACAAAGAGATTTCCTCAAATGTCAGCTTTTTCCCAACTGTGATTATGGGAAAAAATGTTCTATAATTAGCTTTCCCAGTTACATGGATAATGTTTAAACTTTGCACAACCAATAATAAAACTGTTAGACTCTGAAGAAGTGACTTTTAAATTTGAGCCAATACTAATGTTTTTGTAGCACAAGAGAGGAAGGACCTGACATGCGATTATCGTCAGACAATGCAATTAGACGCAGGACACATTTCCTGTGTCTGTTCTCACAAATTCCATGAACCAAATCCAGAAAATTCACGTAAATCCTTTACAGAAAACCATACCAGTATAAAAAACACACACATCATCTCATCCTAATTAGGACTAGGAACTTTTTTATTTGCATGTTTGTGTATAGCCGAGGGTCTATGGCATGTGGATTTAGTGCATTGCTAAGTGATAAGGTCATAACTTCGCAGACAGTTTGTTGCCATCTGTCAAAATCAGCATAGCTCAAATCTCAGCCTCCAACGCCTGCATCGTAACTCCCTCTAAAAGCTGGAACAATGGGTCTCCTAATGTCCACACACTTCCTTTGCTGAAAACAGATATCAGCACTGTAAATGTAAATGTATTCAAGAGAGCAAAAGCTAGAAGTGACTTCTTAATATAATGTCCAGCTGTTGTATTTTTCTAAATGTACTGAAGTGTTTTGGTTTTGTAAGATTATCCCACTTAGGCTCACATTATTAGTATTATTATTATTATTTTATTTTTTAATATTATGATATATACATATATATGTGTGTATGTATAATATTTTTATGAAATATTGTGAATATTTTTTTCCTCTCGTCTAATCAATGCTAATTTTAAAAAAAGTAATTTAATGTTTAACACCACCTTATACTCAGGTTAACAACTCCATCCATGTAAATTCAGTGGAGGTTCCAGATTTTGATCTTATGGCATCCAATGGAGTGGTCCATGTAGTGAAGACTATACTATATCCACAAGGTAAAGTATTAAAAGCAATTAATGTGCATTTATATGCAAATATCTTTAAGATGTGATTTTTTTTTTAATTATAATTTACTAACCCCCATGTCATCCAAGAGATCCATGTCATTCTTTCTTCAGTTGAAAAGAAATTAAGGTTTTTGATGAAAACATTCCAGGATTTTTCTCTATATAATGCACTTTACTGGTAACCAAACGGTTCAAGGTTCAAAAGACAGTTTCAGTGCAAACTGTTAAAGGGGCTTTAAACGATTCTAGACGATGAATAAGGGTCTTATCAAGCGAAACGATTGACCATTTAAAAAAAACAAAAAAACAACAACAAAGTTTAAGTTTTATAAGCACAAATGCTCGCCTTGCTCTGTTCTGTGATTCGAGTCATTTGGTTCATTCAACGAACGAATTGACTCGTAACTTTTTTACTTCTTTTTAATGACCGATCGCCTTGCTTGATAAGACCCTTATTCATCGTTTGCATAGATCGACTACATCTTCAATGAACCTGTTTTCTCAACTCTTATATAACTGTACAATTCCTGAAACATAAGACACAGCCCCTAGAGCTTAATACATGATTTTACTGCATTTCACAGATCTGCCAGTTGGCAGTGAAGACATATTGATTGTGCTGAAGAGACTCATCAAATACATGCAGCTGAAGGTAAGCAGAACACAGTTGATATCTGAACACTGACTCACATTATATAACAGATCCGTCACAGTCCACTACATCGCCGTACAATCACACATCCTCTTTTATCAGTTGCTTTTATTTTATTTATTTATTTATTTTTGGTTTGTGTATAGTTTGAATCTGGATTCACCTACCGTGAGATTCCACTTACATTCATCAGTAAGTTCAGTTTCATCCCTCTCAGTTTAAGTTCCACATTAAAACATCATCAAGGACATGATGTGGGTTATTTTGACATGCTTTTTATTAATGAATATTGTGCTTCTCATTGCAGGGAGGACTATAACTACACATGTCATTGAGAAAGGTAAAACATCATTTCATCACTTTTGTATTTTATTTTACTAAATGGCAACTCTTTTTCCCCATCCACTCACACCCTTTCTACTAGCCTGGTAATACCAGACTCTGCTACTTCACTTTGCTTCATAGACAGCTAAATGAAATTAGCGGAAGTGGGAAGTCTGACGTAGTCAGTCTACCTTTCTACATCAATAAGCATTCATTTTTATTACACGTGATACTGAGCTCCTCGGGCAAGCCCATCTCTGCCAGCTGATTATTCCCAGAAGCTCTTTTAGATATTTGTTTAAGATACAATTATATATATTTACTCAATCATTATTGTGCCTGAACTTCGCCTAAATTGCAACTCCAAGTAAACCGATTAATCATAGAGCCCTAGAGATCAAGAACATGTATTGTTGGCTTGAACGAGCACTGGCATCTCCTCTGGCAGTTGCTGGACAGATACAGCAGATAAAGAGCCATTCAAGACAAAGAGAGAGGGTATTTCGCCTCAGACCATGGCAGGAGACCTGCCTGTTGAGTAGAAGTGAATGTCGAAGCTCAGAAAATTTCAAATGAAATTTATGTGAATTGAAGCTATTGGAAACTTGGCTTAAAAATGTGTATTTGTGAAGGTAAAAATGTATTAAAGTAGTACTGGCAGTGGTTGTGAGGGTTATGATCTAGCAGAGCTATACCTTTCTTCTTAAAAAATAAATAAATTAAATAGTCCCACAATTTTGTATAGCTAATGTGTGTCAAAACAGCCCAACATTGGCTTAAACAATACAGTATATACACACTAACAGCATCTAAAATTCTAAAGCCTTTTATGTATGTTACTTTACAATCACAAGTCTTGATGAATCCTCTAAGGGCTGGTCAGATCTAGAATCTCCGGATCCTTTGCACGATGGTACCGCTGTAAGAGACCCAATCCCATAGCGGGACTCTTACTTATTAGTAAATGATGGACAAACTTTTTCCATGAAACATCTTTTAATGACTAAGTAAATTATAAATGAAATACAGATGCGACTGATGAAAGTCAAGTCATTTTGAGTCTTTGTACGACTTAATTTAATAAGTCGATGTAACAGTGAAACATTCGCATGTGTCATTAATTTATCGAATTGTGCATCTGTCATGGTTCCAATCAGTCTTTCAAACCCCACAGAGTACAATGAAACCTTTATAATGACAAAGTAAATTGTTTTATCGATGGATTATATTTATTAAATGTTGAGTGTGCAACAAAATATAAAAAATATATAGAAAAAAAAAGAAAATTCATATAGAATTCATATATTTAAATAGACACATAGACTGATTGCTCACCAGTTAAGACTTCTTGATTACTGAAAAATGAAACCGCACCTGTGTGTGTGTGTGTGTGTGTGTGTAAGTAGTATTTTGATTTTTTTTATAGTTTCTTATTTACAGTCAGTTTGAGTTTCACCATAAATCACAAAGTATAATTTATGCTGAGTCAGGATCCTGATCCACAGCCACATGTGCTCAATGTCTTATCTCATCTTTGGCAGAATATCCTGATTTTTGTTTAATGAATCCAGAAGTAGCACGAAACGTGACCCCTGTTGCAGTGTCTTGAGAGAAAGGCCGGCCTGGTGTTCATTAACAGCTCTGAAAGCTCCAGTGACTATGATGTCTGGCTTTGACTCCCATTCTCATCTATGTTCATTTACTTGTAATTTATTTCACTTAAATGCACGAATGGATTTCAGAACAAGTTTGCTGCAATTTGACATAAACCTGACTGTAGCAAGGTTAGTAAATCAGGGAAGAAGGAGGCCGAAACAGGCAAACAAGCAATAAACAAACACAAAATGAAATTATTAAAGCGGCAGCCCCTCATGGCCGACTGCCGCACTTACATAAACCACATCTTAAAGTCCAGGCTTGGTCCTCTCTCATCCTTCACTGTTGTCACATCCGGGGCTTCTCCGTGAGTCACTCAAGGATCCGTTATCACGACTCTTGGGCCCTACCTGCTTACCACAGTAACTTTAACTTAAAAGTATCTAAAAAGACAGTCATGCTTTATTCCAAGAAATGAAAATGTCTCTGAATAATTTGTTTGTTCACAACTACTGAGAACATTGTTGAAAATATCATGACCACTATTATTTGACATGACACCTGACATGATCTGTACCTTTCCAACAGGTCCCGAGATCAAGGTCACAAGAGTTGTTGAAGGAGAACCAAGCATCACCAAAGTTACAAGAGTGGTTGAAGGAGAACCAAGCATCACAAAAGTTACAAGAGTGGTTGAAGGAGAACCAAGCATCACCAAAGTTACAAGAGTGGTTGGAGAGCCAAGAGTCGCCAAAGTTACAAGAGTGGTTGGAGAGCCAAGAGTCGCCAAAGTTACCGGAATACTTGAAGGAGAAACAAGCATCACCAAAGTTACAAGAGTGGTTGAAGGAAAGCCGTCTGTTTCAAAGGTCACAAGGGTCATTGAAAGTATGTCCAAACTTCAAATTAAGTATCAAGGTTAATTTGATAAAATTGTATATTTTTTCTAGTAACATTGATTTTTCATTCATTCTTTTCGCTCAGCTCACAGTGCCTCATCCGATGGTGAAATTGATGCTGAGGGAGAACTCAAGAGAATCATGGGTGAAGGTCATTCATTTGAACAGCTTTATTTGGTTGTGTAGTCCAACATTCCTATTTGGCCAAGTTTTTAAGAGTTAAATTGTCCAATTGGTTTTATTAAACATTTGAGAAAGAATTCTATTGTAGTAAGAACTGGATTAGAAAGAGATATTCAGCATGTTCAAGTCTGTTCTCAACACAAGTTAATCGTACTTTAAAAGTTCAGTTTGGTTCAAAATGGCTGTAAACAAAATTGTTTGTCCGATTTTGTCTGATACAACATTGAAAGGATTCTTGTGGCACATGTCAAATATTGTCACTTTATGTGTTGTAGATATAACCAAGCATCAGACGTTTCAGAGTGGTGACGTACACATGCTCCAGGAGGAAGACATCAGACAAATCACTGACGCAATCTCTCAGGGAGGTTGGTAAAATAGTTTTAATTGAGTTATGGAATATTTTAAGAAAAAAAAAGCCCATATCCTGGCTAAAATGTTGCTGAATGGTATGCTCTATAGACTCATTTTTCTTAAACATGACATCATAGTGTTATATTAATATTATTTATGTGCTATTAAAGTCATTTTAATTAGCTTTCATTTTTATATTTTCAATTAAAGTAAAAGTCAACATTTAAAAATCTAAGTTTATTTTATGTAAAATGTCGTCCATTCATTTATGTTTAAATTGTAAAACTTAAATGTCTAAGTTTATTTTATTTCATCGATATATAAATTAATGTTAGTTATTTTTAATAGTTTTAATATTTAAAATTTTAGTCAATAATAACACTGACATTGGTACTTGTATTTAAAGGTTAATGTATTTTGAACAAATCATTATGAACATTTACACTTGAACCAAGAGATTATTCTTGAATCTTCCATCACAATTTTTTTCAGGTATCTTTCTCTGCTGCCAAACACTTTTCCCCGTAATCCTTGGCATTTGAAACGATCATGTTCATTCCCAGATTGCTTTTTTTTTATTTGTTTGCCATTAATCCAAACATTAATTTGATTTATGATTATGAAAGGATTGGGATCTGTAAGACTCCTTTGTAGCTTCCTAAAGAGCTTGACATTTTTATTGAGAGCAGCTGTGAACTTGGTGATTCGTTCTTGTTTAGTAATGTTTAATGTTTGTTTGTCTGTCTAATTTTATGCCCATGGATTACAATCCCTAGTTACGTAATAGAATAAAGCCCCGTTGCCTTGGTTTTCCCATGGATCGCACATGGCTCTACTCCAGATGCTTTTGATTTAAGTTCCTACCTTATGGCTTTCATTCATTTTTGGCAAGATTACACTTATGATTTGGCTAAAAGAAAGAATGGTTTCACTCCAGAATCTTAAAGCTGTACAGTTAAAGTAAGATTAAGGCTTTCATTATTGACTATTACTCACTGATTTGGCTCAGGGTTAGTTTCACTTTTGCCCAGAAGTTTGTTCATCCATTTTTCTCATGTCTCCTTGTTCTCAAAGGTGGACCAGGCATCACCACTATAACTAGAGTAATCAAACCAGAGCCCAAGGTTGTTGAAAGTAAGACCTAATAAGGCAAATGATGTTATGATATAGGTTTTGCCCAGATGTTTGTGTCATAGACTTCTCTTTTTTACCTGAAGGCGAACCAGGGATCACCACTTTAACCAGAGTAATCAAAAAAGAGTCTCAGATCACTGACGGTGAGACGTAATACATAAATACATAGACATAATGGTTTTAAAATTTGAACCAAATCAAATGTTCATCTTTTTGTGCTCAAAGGTGCATCAGGGGAAACCAGTATTACCAGAGTAATTAAACCAGAACCACAGATCATTGAAGGTAATTTTTATATTTATACCTCTGATATTACAGGTTTTTTTTTGTAATAATTTTAAATAAATGGACAGTAGATATTCAATGTGTAAGTGTTTAACACTGATATCTCAAAATGTCATTTTTTTATGCTGTACATTATAATGTTTTGATGCCTAAATTCAGCTGTGATGTTTAAAGTGATTATCAAAAAAAACTAAATATATAAAATGATCCAAAATTGGGAAGGTTCTATATGTACCTGAGAGAACCCTTTAATAGATAATGATTGAGTGTAGTAATATTACATGTTTGAATATTTACTGAATTTAATTGTGTGCCTCTTTTAGTTCCAGATTTCTCAAAGATTGTATCTTTGAAGGACAATCCAGATCTCTTTGAATCAGAAACTGAGAGAATCAGCAGAATCATTAAGGGTTAGTGGCTTCATAGCTCGGTGCGAATGATATGAAGAAGGATCTGATGCCGAAAGCTTAATTGATTTTTTTTTCCCTTCAGAGGGGCGTTTTAAAAAACGAGCCGCCATCAGACAACCACAAGGTATATATTTCAGTTCATTAAAGGGATAGTTCACTTTAAAATTAATTTTTGATATGTTTTAGCTTACCTCAAGGGCATCCAAGATGTAGGTGTCTTTGTTTCCACAGTATTTTCAATTTTGATATTTTTAGGTCAAACGTTTGTGTCTGTCTGTCATATAATGGAGGTATATGGGGTCCACCTCAAAGAGCATGCACAGAGAAGTCCAAATTAAACATGATGTAAGTACACATTGATGGCCTAAGACACAAAACCAACGGTTGGTCTGGAAAGTGCCTGAAGTGATCTCTCGCGCGGTTGCGAAAAAAAAAAATTCAACGTTGTCCGTTGATATATTGAAATCGTATTCCATTGCTGTTCATTTTCTCACACAAACCGCTCGTTTCATGTCTTAGGCCATCAATACTTACATTTACAAGTCATTAAATCATCTTTAATTTGGACTTCTCTGTGCATGCTCTTTGAAGTGGACCCCATATACCTCCATTGTATGACTGACAGACAAGAACGGTTTGACCTAAAAATATCAAAATTGAAAATACTGTGGAAGCAAAGACACCTACATCTTGGATGCCCTTGAGGTCATTTCAAACTATCTCTTTAACATCTAATGTGTTGAAGTCATTGTATTGCTATTTTTAAGATTTAAAATACTTTTAGCACCTTCTTATTTTCAACCCCAACTTTGTCGTAATCCATAGACAAAGAGGAAAATGAACCATATCTGTAGATTAACTTTATATATATATATATATATATATATAAATGTGTGTGTGTGTTTGTGGACTAAAACACAGGATCAAGACGAAGAATGCGACTGGTCAGGCGTCACTCCAAACCAAGACAATGAGATGAATGGACGCTCACTGTACCTGGAGATCCAGCTTTAAGGGACGGTTTGGAGTAATTTCAACCCTGGGTCCTTTGTACCATGACCTCGAGCCAAAGTTAAAGTTAGAGCTTATTGAGAGATATCAGCCGAATGGCTTAGTGCAGGCGCTAGTGGATCCAAGGTTGTATCTCATAAATTATTCCACTATAATAATGCCTGGAATACCAAATTTGTACTGTAGCTTAAATAGGTTTAACCTTGGATCCACTAGCGCCTGCACTAAGCCATTCGGCTGATATCTCTAAATAAGCTCTAACTTTAATAATGTTCGACCAAGGGGAAAAAAAAAAGCTTCTGGGGGATGTTTGGCTCGAGGTCTTGGTGCAAAGGACCAATTACTCTGAGCCATCCCTTTAAATGAAAGACAGTGTTGTAGGACAGTGTGTTTGTCCTGAAAATACACTTTTGCTACAAACCGCATTGAATGTTTACACTTTACAAACCAACGCAGTAATATCTTGGATCTGTGTGGCAAACACCCCACTTCAACTCAGATAAGGGGTACATGAAATGGTGGTGGTTACAAAGAGACGTTGCTCCTTTTTTTCCAGCTGTTTATATTGTTTCTTTGAATATATACTGTACGAGTCTTGTCATTGAGCTTTTGGTGCTTGCATTCCGACACATGAATGCAGATTTTAACTGTCCATTATTCAGCTGAAGTTCATTTTTATGAATTCATTCACTTCAAACTTTTTTTTTTCATAGACAAGACTTTTCATTTGTACAAATTAAAATCATCATCACATTGAAATAAGCCTCAATGTAGCTAAAATAAATCAATAAAACAATTTCATTTTAAAAGACAACTTCACTTGTGATTTTATTGTTCACCTTCAAAACTGTCTGTAAAAAAATCTATACTATTGTTTTTCAATTCAGATCATTATATATTGACCAGCAGTGTGAACTGTCCTGGGACATTGTGCTCTGACAATGATGGATAAAGGCATCGCCAATGACTGAATCTTAGTCTCCACATACAGTATGATGAGGAAAAAGTCAAGATGATTTGCCATCCATCTTGAGTTTACTGTGTGTGAGCTAAACACGTTAATCCCTTTATGTTCTCATTTATAGATAGATAGCATGTCGAAAATGACACAAAGTGAATGCAAAAACTAACACTGCAGAGTAAAAGAAGCACACATTGACATAAGGGCTTATGTAACTGCATGCATATGACATATGGATGACTTAATGTATTTGGGAGATGCATTGGGAGGATGAACATGTAGCAAGTTATTTTAGATGTACACTCAAAGCTCTCGATTGTTTGCACTGTTCTAAAGTGAAAGATGCTAAATTCTCACCTATAAATGCAATGATCAAGTAAAACTAAAACTATAAAGAAATATTTTCATTAAAATTAAAGGCAGTCGCAAAAACTTTCTGACTTTAATCTGTCTCATATGTAACACATTGTTTTTGCCATTGCTAGTGATTGCTATGTAACTTGAGATTGCCAGCTTTCAACACATTTCCTTTAACAGTTCTTTGTGCAAGTGTCATATAGTGATCTTACTTTGTGATCTTACTTTAGCAAGCCAACAACAACTGACCTTAACTCAAGCACAATAGAAAAGATCACTTCTTTCTCCACACAGAGAAAGTCTTGTGTATTGTGGCTGAATGTGCAAGTTCACATATGTGTTTTATTATTCTCCATGTTTGTGCGCTCTAGCATGGGGACATTTCTAACGAACAGGGTTCCTTATGTTTGGAGAGATGAGAGGAAACTTGCTTGGATAGTTACACACTACTAGAAATTAAAGCCCAGAATTAAATTTGATTTGGATCTCAAAAATAAGACAATTTATTACCATTGGAATTGCAAAAAGAATGACCATCTCAAATGGGTTTCTCTAACATTATTGCAATATAAACAAAAACTTAATTAAATGTATTTATATTTTTGAGCAATTATGATTAACACTTTTCCATTTACCACAAATGCCATTAATTGAGTGCAATATCATTGATATTTAATTTGTAACTTTGTGTCAAACTTTGTTTGAATGATGAATTCCTTCTGTTTAACAATGCTGTCCCTGATATAAGTGTGTTGGCATGCCTTTGACTCCAGTCATATTTCTGACATAAAGTCATCATGTCTGTAAGCATGTCGTTTTACGGTGATTTATATTGGGAGGGGGTTGATGAGGAGTGATATGCCTACAGGGTTCAAGAACTCCTTCATTAGGCTGCTTCAGTATTGAGAGATGGGCTCTAACTAGGAAAGGCAAAAGTACATCTTCTGATGTGCCATTGGCAAGAGAACTGAAGAAACACTCTTTTCACTCAATACATGTTGAAATATGGGAATTTAAGTGATAAAACCGCTGAGATGATCATTAACAATTTTTATTTTATTGGAGTTTCTCATGGTCATGCAGTTAAATCTAATGGACTGTTGTTTATTTTATCCATCCGTCCGTCCGTCCGTCTGGTGGTTTATCTATTCGTCCATTTAAATTGAAAAATCTGTTTCATTGTCATCTCTTTGAATCACAGTGAACATTCTAGTATATAAAACAGGATCATTTGTGTGAGATTTGGACTATCAGTTGTGACAGATCCTCTATGGAAAAACCGACTGTGTGTGTCAAGTTGCAGAAAGGAGAAGGCTCTCAGGCGGTGCACTAAAGTCTTTGCCCTGCATGTGGGGATGATTGCTGTGATTAGGGGTTTTTAGAGAGCAAACGAGTCATAAAACATACTGAAGCAGCTGTGGTCCGTTTCATCATGGGGCATCGGACCTTTCAAACCAAGTAAATAACTACTTGTGCTTCTTGCTGTCACCTGAAGTTATTACGATCTCTAACTTTTTAGACTCGCAAAAAAAAGCACATTACAGCCATCACTTAACAGTTAGGACATAACATTTTTAATTGCCATGAGAGTGTTGAAACATCTCTGTCTTCTTCTCATACCAAAACATGTAATCATGCCTTATTTCTCTCTAGCGGAGCACAGCAGGAAGTTTATTGAATCTAGAGTGAATCAATGGCAGTAAGGTCAATACCACAAGTTACATGTAAGACTAATGGCTCTGCTGAGTCTTTACACAAAGCTGTAAAAATGACAGATGGAGTGCGTGCAGCTTGCTGGAGGCCCAAATGCCCGAAATTCAGAGTAAAATGTGTTCTCTTGTGACTTTCATGAACCGTTCTCGTTGATTTGACAGCCAAGGAACACTCTTGATCGACACTGGCTTGAAGCCAGACTTCACTGAAAGCTCTGTGTCAGTGCTTAGAGATCAGATTTTACAAGAAAATTGTTGTGAAGAGGGACTTGGAGCACACAACAGTAGATCCATGACTTTCCATGGTCACTCTGGTTTTGCCAAGTAAGACATATTCCTGGATCAGCATATTTTGTTGATTCTTAAACAACATTCCTGTCTTAAAATGGTGTTATCCCTAAACCTAAGTTCTCCCTAAAATCTGAGGGAAATGATAGGTGCATATCACTGATGTACAAGCACGTAACCATGGTTGTAAGCCTAAACTGACTTTAACTGTAAACTTGTCTCTCAAATCTGATTGGTCGATTGGAATTTTGTTCCAGGATCAACACAAATGTTATTACGACTTAAATTTTCGTCTGTTTTTCCACACAATGCTATCGTATGACTTCTGAAGATGACACAAATAATATGGATAGCCTGTTAAAATCACCAAACTATTTTGAGGTGAGGCTATAGAAAAAAAAATAAAAATTCTTTAGAATTTCAGTTTTGTTGTTCATTTAAATAAATAAATAAGAAAGCAAGCAAGCTAGCTAAAATGAATCCATCAATTTAAAGGAGAACTCCGGCGAACAATGAACCTTTGGTCTAATAAAACATCGGTACCTTGTCAATCGTTCTCTGAGTTTTGTTTTCATGATAATCGAATGTAAAGAGTTTTATCTCTAAAAACTGTTTAGCGTATAATGCTAGTAATGGGGGCAAACTGCCTCAGCAGTTTTCAATACAAACTAATATGGTAATATTCCAACCCGATCTCACGACCAAGTCGTACGAATTCGACGAATGATTACAAAGTGGCTAATTCGTAACAATTCATACGACCTCACTCGTACGAATTAATACGATTTTGCTAAATCGTACATATTTTACGAATTGGCCAATTCGTATGAATTCGTACGAATGACCTACCCCTTACCCCGCCCCTAAACCTAACCATCACGTGGGTTTAGACAAATCGTACGAATTAGTACGAGTGAGGTCGTACGAATTAGTACGAATTAGCCACTTTTTAATCATGCGTCAAATTCGTACGAATTGGTCGTGAGATAGTGTTAAATATTCCTGTTTTTCCTTGTCAGTCGGGTACACTTTTGCTATCATATGGGTTTATTTTTTTATTTTTTATTTTGTTGTGCGGCTTCTATGCCTGAGAACATTATGTTCGTCAGTCATTTTACGTGTAGTCTAGCTCCTGTGGGTGTGTTTTTTATTTGGAATTTTCTATTTTTAAGAGACATTTTAGTTGTGAAGCAGAAATATTCCAATGGACTGGACATAAAGTTCAGTTTCATGGCTCTTAGCTCATTATTTTACTGGTCATATCTGCAATTCCTCAGCTGTGCACCATACTGAGAGAATAAATGAACTGATTTGAACTTAATTTATGACATTTCATATTGACACACCACGGTTATAACATTTTCGTTTGACATTCGTTCTGAGTTCTGTGTAATTGGCCACACATACAAAGAACATGCGTGCGCATTACCATATTGCCAAATCACAAATGCTGAATTTATTATTTTTTTTCGTAATATTTACCATTTTCAGACCTTTTTTTCTAAAATAATTGAATGGATGCAATCTTTTAAACTCTTGGCATGAAAACAAACTGAGGTTTCTATCTTTTTTCATGATTTTTCATGTTCATTACTATTTCAAAATAAAGGTCTGAAGACGTTTTATGAATGAAAATATTCTTGTTGCAAATTGATAAATTACGGCTCCTGTGTAATTTATTTTGAAAATCACTCACCAAATATGGAAATTAGAGATTGTAAGCTTTCAAATGATATCTAGATTGTCAATATTACTTAAGGTCTTTTCTAAGATATCATTGTTAAATATATAATGGCAAGCGTCCCACCTGTGGAACGTGACAAATAAGGGGTTAAAATGGCTCACAACACAGTTGAAATTGAGTGCAATGATGATCTCATTCCTTTTGGAGAGAAGAATCATTTGTTAGATTGCCTTGATCTCTTTTACCTCAAATCACTTCAGAACAGTTCTTCTGAACTGTGATCCCAAAACTCCTAAAATTGCAAAACTGGAGCCACAAAGAATTGAGACCCTATAAAATATAATGTCTAGGTTTGTCATTATTACCCCTGGTTATGTTCTGAAAGGCTGTATTAAGCAACAAAGCCAAATTTTATGGAGTTTTGGGAAAGTTTTCAACCTCAGTTTCAACTTGGCATGTCGAAAAATTCTTTGTTTCAAGTCATCCATGCGCAGTCACACAAGCATGCGTGACCTTATCATGGTTACACAGAAAAAAAGACCCGATGACATGCATGTATCTTCAGGCTGCTTTTTCAAAATATGTAGGACACATATACACAAAACATCACACCCAGCAAATAAATCTTTTATGTAAGGACACGCTTTGCAAAATAAGTTCCAGCCCACTGTGTTTACAATGCTTGCATCCTTCATAAGGTTATAGAATCAAACATAACAAATAAAAGGACATCTATAAACATGTAGTTAGTGCCTATTAACCACAGAATGCTTTGGCTTCAGTGTTATGGATGGTATAAAAGTAGTCCTTGT